TCTAAATTTATTTATATACTTCCAGGCTTCCGTTTCACTCTTTATATTTCGTATCTTGTTTTCCTCTTCTCTTTCGTGTTTCTTCTTCTGTTCTTTGCACCATTCTCTATATGCCTTCCTTTTCGTGACATATACTTCACTATTTATCTTTCTTTTCCTTAAATCTCTCAGCGTCTTTCTCAGCTCTCTCTTTCTCTTTTTCCATTCCTTATCATACCAGCTCTTTTTTCCCAAACTCCATGGTATTATCTTCTTTTTGTATCTCACCAGCGAATTCTTTATCTTCTCTCTCATCTCCGTCCACGCTCCTTCTACATTATGTTGCTTGCATATCCATCCTCTGCAATTTTCTTGATATCTACTTATCCCTTCTTCTGTCCAGTCATTCCTTTCTAATTCTATTACCCTTTTCTTGGTTCTCCTCTCAGTCTCTTGCTTTCCAATTAGTTCTACTTCTAGCGGTAAATGATCTGATTCTGTCCGTATCCCTTCCTTAACTCTCTTCACCTCTCCTATCGCTCTGTCGTTGCTTATCACGTAATCAATTACCGATGAACCGCATTCTCCTATGTATGTCCATCCCCCTTCTTCCCCGAAGCTTCCGTTTAGTATTGTCCATCCTCTATCTTCTATCTTACTTATCAGCTTACGTCCCTCTCCATTGGTTTCTTGGTCTATTGACTGTCTCACTTCTTTCTTCTCATTAACTTTTTCCTCTCTTATTGGTCCTCCTTTGTTTCCCGTTCTTGCGTTAAAGTCACCTCCTAGTAGTAGTAGTTCCTCTTCTTCTTGTAATCTCTCCAAAATTCTGTCCATTGTTTCGTCTATCTTTTGGCTATATATCGTGAAGATCCTCCAACTGTTTCCCTCGAGCTCCAGCTTCATCTCCATTATTCCCTTATCTACTTTTTCTATCTTTATTTCTTTCTTATTTCTTCTTGCCGCCATGATTATTCCTCCTTTCGCTCTGCCTTTCTTACTTTCTCTCTCTGCTGGTATGCTCCACCACTCAAATTCTTTTGGTAAATTCTCTTTCAACTTCTGCCACCTCTCTTCTTCTACCCAGGTCTCTGTTAATCCAAGTATGTCGAAATTTTCCAAATATCTCCACGTCTCCTCACACTTGTTGACTAGTCCTGCCACATTCCAAAAACAGATTTTTATCACTTCTTCTTCCTCTTCTTCTCCCCTACACTCTTGTTCTCATTTTGCCTTACTCTCTTTTTCTTCTACTAGTTTCTTCTCCTTCTCGTCCCAACGGTACCACCTATCTTTCAGGAATATCTTTCTATAACCTACTCTAGTTTTGTTACCTTTTCTGTTTTCTTCTGTTGCCTTCTCTCTTAAGTATTTCTGTATTTCTCTTTCCTTTCTCGTTAAGTCGTCGTCGATGAATATTCCTGATTTTAGTTCTTTTTTCTTGACCATTATCTCTCTCTTCTGTCCCCAGCTACTTATCTCTGCTACCACCGTACTCCTGTCTCCTCTCATTCTTAACTTAAACGCCTTATTTACCTCTACTTCCGTCTTCAGGTTATCTCTTATGAATTCCTTGACCTCTTGTTCCATCCTCTTCTCTCCCCACACCTCTACCCCTCTTATCACTATATTATTTCTCCTTTTCTCTCTC